CGTACAGCTAGGTAGCTCTTATCAGTGCTGTCATTGCAAGCCAGCACAACAGCCACAGTTATGAAATGTGGAACTACCCCTCTCGTATTAGGGACCAATCTAGTTAAACCTTGCTTAGGGGGAATATTTATGAATCCGTTCTTTGACTTATCCCTGCCTCGCTCCACTTTTCCATTCTCATGGCTAGCATCTACTTTCTTCTCACTGGGTTTGTTTGAGTAATATCAGGTCTCTTGAAAATGACAGATGACCTTACACACTTAAAAAGAAGGGACAGTCGTTTCATCAGAGAGATGTATCTTCCGCACTTGCTGAAGAAAGTGAAAGGGACAAAATGGTCCATGAAAAATTTCTTTTTTTTCAAGTGGAGAAGTCCTCATTTATCTCTGTCTTTCTCCAGTCGAGTTGATTTAAACTCTTTTACTGAAGTCCAGATATCAGTGACATTGTAACTCACCGTCTTGTAGACTATTGCTGAGTGAAAATACAAAAGTCACAGTCTCAAATGTGTGAGTTCATACAAACTTAAGGAAAACTTGTCCAAATGTAAGCCCGACGGTAAAGGATTTCCTAGAGAGTAAAACTGTAACAGTGACACAAAACTTAATTATATCAAAAATGCGTACATGGGCAACTGATGACAGCTGATGAGTCAGTCTTACTGTGGTTGCCATCACTTTTGTATGCATCCCACAGCTTCTTGGTGACAACTGTCACAACCTTACATATAGAAATATGCATCTACTGAAATATCATTGGGTCTTATTTATTCTCATACAGAAATTTTTCATGAAAATGACAAGAGAGAGAACTGATTATCATTGGTCTGTCATGGATAGGTCCTGAGAAACTCCTCAGATGTCCATCTAGAGTCCCTGTGACTTCCTTACATTGTGTGTCAATTCATGTAATTGATTCATATAGAATTGATCTTCATTTAATTGCTCCTATTTAATTTTAATTTTCCCTTTTTTTTTCTATTAAGAACCAGTCTGGACATCTGTAACCTTGCAATGAATGACAACCAAGCTAAGCTACAGCAGTTTTCAGCTGTAGAAACATGTTTCATTTTTCCTTTCCATATGCATTTAGATGACGTGTTCAGAATGAAGTAAAAGAATCCAAACAAGTGTGATCTACCACAAAGATATCCCAAAACTGTTTCTTATTGATAAAGCTATTTGATGCTATTTGAGAAACTGGCATTTACAGTTTTCTTTAGAAGATTATGCAAAGAGTAACAGAGACAGAAATCAAGAAGATTCAAATCTAACTCTTTTTGTTGTTGTTCTAAATTCTTTGTAGATTAGCTTCACTGTGAGACTGGAGTGCTTAAATGATGCTGTAAGACATTCACAAAATGCCACCTAATCTGGTAGGCTCTTACGCGCCTTTGACCTGTAAGTTCTGCAGCAGTACACACACACATGGTAAAGTCCTAACGAAGTCAAACTGCTTAGCACCTATTTTTCAGCTAGACCATGTCAAGATTTGGTAGCTGACGACTCCCGCTAGTGAGGCTTAATATGTTGGCATGCTCAGCTTGTGTCTAGCCTCGCCTAAGACTCAGGCAGGGAGGAAGTGACCGTCCTCCTTTCTCCACCGTGTCAGACATTCACCCAGATTGTGGGAAGGGCAACTCTGGGAGACTCGTAAAGGACTTGCAATCACATCCTTACCTTACAGTAAGTCACTTGATCGGTAGGCCTTAAAGCGTTCAGAGATGAGCACTCTCATTTCGGTTGTTCTCCTCTACCTTTCCGTTGTGATAAGGTGAGTAAAAGACCAGCAGCTCACTGACAAAATTTGCAGAGAAGAGTTACGTTCCCAGGAGGTTCTTCACATAGGGCAACTTTTCATGCTGTTAGACAGCCATAGAATGGGGATCTTCAGCTTACGAGAGCTCACTCATCTCATCTTGGACAGCCTGTATTTTTGCTCCAGGAACATGCTAAGTTAGCATGTTCTAAATAGGAATGTAAATGATGTTTGCCTTTATTGTGCAAGGTTGCACCAGACTTGCTTTCAGGACAGCAGCTTTACCTGACTGCATTCAATTCAAGTATGGGGATTAACTGCAATTTGAAGTTTTACTACTAGTCTGTACACATTTACGTTAAAAGGAAGTGTGGTGATTACTGAGCTTGCACAGTGATAATAAGGATAAGAAACCCATGGTAACTGAAGTCAACAAACCTCTTTAAAACTAAAGTGTTTGGATGCTGAGGGCTTGCTTCCTGGTAACTGGCAACTTCAGAAAGAGCTTCCCACTACTCCAGGACACAGAGTTCCTTGCAGTCATGTTCATTAACAGTCTGGAGGTTTAGAGCTAGCAAATCAAGAGTTTATATTTTTAAAAGGAAACCTATTGAAATTCAAAGGGCTGCCTCGTATGGGTTCAGTTTATGATAGCAATGCATAAACATGCTAAGGATAATATGTAGGCTCATTACAGGATCTGGCAAGATTTGGGAAGATTTTTAGCATATGATGGAGAGAATGGTCTTGGGAGAACTGGCAACAAAGTTTTAAACAGATTTCTCTAAAGTGTCTTACCTGATACTTGGGGAATAGTGGGAAGAACTGTACTTTTTTTTTTTTTTTTAATGCAATGCTTTGGTGGGTTTACACACGCACGCACAAAACCAAACAGCGATAAAGGACTCATTGGAAAACAAAGTTTTCAACTGCTGAATGAGACTTTTGAGCTAGTGACCAGGTATAATATCAAGATTTCTGTTAGACTCCTGTTTTATTCAGTTATAGTTATCTAAAGTAGAATGCAGTTCTTTTACCTTAGCCAAATAAATAAAGAGGAAACTCCAGCAGAGACTACTCTTAATATTGATGGGGTAAGTCTTTGCTGGAGTTACTTTGAATTTTTCTTTCCTAAGAGAATTTTTTTTACTGTACATTTACTGTATGGTTCTTTTTACAGTATGGTTTTTAAGTATGAAAATAGCACTATCAGATAAAGTGATTGCAAGAAATAGTATGATATTTCTAGAATAGTCTTAAACTGCATTTGCATTATAGTAAATGAGGTGTACTGCATTTATGAGTGGAAAATATGCTAGAAAGATCACACCTATTTTCATTATTTTGGCTTCTTAATTTAATGTGCTTAATCATACTTTGGCCTCATCTACAAAGTGTCATCACATAGTATTTTTACTTTTCAGGAGATTTCTGTGTTACAGGGTTTCTGCCAGAAAGGTGGGATTGTCATTTAAATGTTGTTCTTGAATTTGTTCTGGTTTTCTTTGTCCTACCCAGTTCCTGTATCCTTGAACTCTAATTTCTTGTAAAGTATTTTAGGTTTTCATGAAATTGCAACAAAAATCAACCTTATCTGGGGCATGGGCCAATTTTAATAAGCATGTAAGTGTTGTGATTTCTTATACTGCTTTAATTTTAGTTGCTTTATCCCTGCAGGTTTTAACGTATTTGCTTCACAGAGAGAAAGCACGTAGAAACTTATTTTGCACTGTCAGCTAAAAGTCTTTGTTTTTTCTGTATCTTGTTGTCTTTGTATTCAGATAAGCCTTATTAGTTCAGAGACATTTAGTTTGGGTGGATTAATAAAATTCAGGAAAGGAATTTTCAAATGAATCTTGAAAGCAAATCAGAGTACAAATCAGGCTTACTTAGATGCAGAGAATGTTCTGAGAAGAAACATTACCTTATGTTGATGATAATCAGATGTATATTGTCCTCCAGCTTATTACAGAGCGAATCTCAGCATTTTGCAGTTAGTGTTCTATAAAAAGAATATTACAAAACTTGATGATCTTGTTTTTAGAAACAAAGCAATCAGAACACTCTAGTGTCTCAATGTCATCCAGTTAGATGTTGCTTTGTTGGTGGGATAAGAGGTTATTGGGCAGCTGTGGAAATGCAGAATAGACTAAGCCTGTATTCCACTACGACATCTGCATATAAATTTGTGTGGTTTAAGTTGCAGGAGGAATTTTAAAAACAAACAAAAATACAGAAAAATTTGCCCCTAGCCTAAGTAGACTCCATGACACTAAATAACAATAAAACATATGTCTTCAGTCTCATCTATTCAGGATTTTTCCTTACAAGTCTTTTTTTTATTTTATCATTTGAGTCAGCTAATTTAATTAATTATAATTTGAATAAATTCTTATGCAACAAAATAGGTAATTCTGTTTCCTGTAAAATGCCAACAAAAATAAACTTTGTGGGACATAAGCCAGAACTGGGTTTCACGGAATAGAAATAATCTTAGATATGTCTATAGAATGAGTGCAGAAAGCCACAAGTTGCCATACCTATCCCATGAGCTGCTTTGCTTCAGGTCAGCTCCACTTCGGGGTTATGTGCTATGCTTTTGCACAGACTTACTAGCATGCCAACACAGCGAAGCTTCCAGTCCAAAGGTAGTGCAAAACCAGCTGTGAGATGGGGCAGAGCAACTTCATGACTGTTTGCCCCCATACATGCGCATATAAGACCTGACTCTAAATGTAGGTAGGAATTGATAGGTGGCTAAGCAGTATAATGACAGCTGAAAATTCAGATGCCTTTCAAATGCAAGGTGAAATACATCAGAAGGAATAATTTGAACCATTCATGCACATTAGTAGGTTCTGAACTATCAGGAAAAAACCATAGGTACCAATGTGAGCAGCTGAAAGAAAATTTCTGTTCAACATCCATCATTAATCAAAAACCCATGCGCAGATGCATAAAGAATATGAAGGAAAATAAGATATTCAGCAGACAGAAGACCATATCTTACAGAGTCAGCAGAAAAGCAGGGTACTTAATACTCTATAGTGTTTGCTCCACACTGTAATGAAGATAGCATATGTTTACCAGTATTTTTCCATGTTTTAAGACTGAGAAATTAGACCAGCTAAGCTTAAAAGTTGTGTTAGCTACTGAATTTTCTTTTGTTTAATTCTCCCTGTTAGAAATATCATTCACTCAAAGCATGAAGAAATTAATGATTGTTTTTTTCTGCTGCACAGAACCTGAAGCGCGTGGCAGAGACATGGATGGATGAGTTTGCAGAGTACATTTACCAGCGACGGCCTGAGTACAGACATCTCTCAACTGGTGATATCTCTGCCCAGAAGGAACTTCGCAAGCACCTTAAATGTAAAGATTTCAAGTGGTTCATGGCTGCAGTGGCTTGGGATGTCCCCAAATATTACCCTCCTGTGGAGCCTCCACCTGCTGCCTGGGGGGAGGTGAGTAGTACACAAATTAGATCAAATTTAAATGAGTTTAACATTTTACATTACAGGAAATTAAAATTATGAAATTAGATTTAGCTCCTATGATAAGTAGTGTTATTAAGGGAGTTCATGGTGATTGGAACAATCCCTGGACTAGCCATTAAAATGAGAAACCGTCATGTCTTAGAACTATCTCTGTCTTTTTTATAATTCATTACAATTTTGTGTGTACAGGCCATAAGATGCATGCACAATGAGGACAAGAATGTGGAAAAGAGTATGTAGCACTCATTATTGCATGCCACAAGATGATTTTAGATGCTGAGAATCACTTTAGTAAAAAGGAGGTCTGAAGTCAACACTTTTTTTTTTTTGCATATCCACTTCTATACCTCCTCCTGTTCTTAGAAGAACAGTTGTATGCAGGTGGAGTTAGGTTTGCTGCGTTGTGCTCACACGTGCAAGTGTGACAAGTGAAGCCTGGATACTTTCCTTTTAAAAAGACTGGCTTTGCTCAGCTTGTGGTCTGCATTCTGTAAGTGCTGTCATGACCAAGTACCAGTAGCAGGCAAATGCAATTTCTCGTTTGGGGGATGAGGGGAGGGAGAGACCACCAAAGAGAAGCCAATATTCGAGCATCACTCCAGAGCAGGGGGTGAGCAAACAGCCTGCTGGAACTCTCCACCCATTATCGAAGATGTTCTGCATTCAGACCTCTCTAAAGAGCAGAGCCCTAGCACACCTTGCTTTGACAGTTTGTTTTGTGTAGAAGAAATGAAAACACAAAGAGTGCAGGGACAGGAAATTATTTCCATAGCTGCGCTGAAAAATTGCAGTGGCCTTTTACCTCTAGGAACTAAAGCAGATTCACTGCATGGAAAGGTGGCATGCAGAGGGCTTTTTCCTCTCAATTCCTTAAGATTTATAAAGAAGGCTTTGCTCTTTCATTGTGTTGTGCTACTTTTTTAAAAACCATAGGAATATCTGTACTGTGAGTTCTGGCCTTCTCTGGTTTTGCTGGAGATGTTCTTGGGGCTCTCAGACAATTACCTTTTATATTTGAAACCAAAGGATGAAGTTGAAACTTTGACCAAAACGTTTGGTAAGACCCCTCACACCTCTGCATATCCCCAGTAGTCAAGGCTGGACCATGCAGGGGATTTCTAAACATAGGTGCCTTTACTGTTCTCCAGAATTTCTTTTTAAAAAAGCAAATTACCTCATTGCAAAATTTTAAAAATAACTTCCTGTGGTAGTAGGAGTCCTTAATTATTCTTTGTAAGCTACCAGTTACAGATGTTCAAAGGAATTTCAGTTTATATGTGTCTCACTGTTTGCTACTTCTTGGCAATAATGAATTCCTTTGTTGTTAATGTTTCTTATATCTTTGATACTGCTGCCCACACTTTATGGGATTAATATATAGCAAGAGGTAATGAGTTTATCATCAGTAGAAGTCAGTCTGGATCGGGGTGCTGTGACTGCTGCTATGATCCTCCTTCATCATCTTCCACATGTATACATGTGCATCCTTGGAAGACTGTGATCATGGGATGTATAATTTCTCTGGCAAGCTGAACAATCCTTAACTCAATCAGAGGGTCTAAGTGGAAGAGATTGTGATTCGGGTATTAATTCTTTTCACAACAATATTAACATACTCTTTGCATAAAAGCAAGACTTTTAAAAAGTAAATCAAAGATCACAGCAGTGGTATCAAATCCGTACTTTAGAGTTCTTAGGAAAGAAGTGAAGACCAAAGGCTTTCTGTTTCCTCTAAAATGTACTTTCTCTAAAATAGCAAGAGAAGTTTCAGCCCTACTACTCTATTTTTTCCTGAGACTGTCACATTCCTGTGAAGTTTTAATTAATCTGTTGGCACTTGCAAGGAATTTGAACAAACTTGAAGGTCAATGGCTGTCATAATTAGAAGCTGAAAAAGGAAAACAGACTGTGTTATTGCTTTGTAAGAATCAAGCAGCTCTACAAACCTTGCTGATTATACACACCAAAAGTCTGTGCCAAGACTGACTGTCATTTAGTACCCTCTCTGCTTCCACTTGGAAAGACTTTTCATCTGCTTGCTATGCCAGTCTGAGAAAGAATAAACAATGAGGTACTCGGACAATTTTTGGCTCCAGCATTTGGATATCTAGCTAGGAAAAGCACGTGGTGTGAAAGCAGACATCTCATAAGCAGCCTTTGCACAATTCCTCTTTTTTTGCAAACACATTTGTTTAAAATCCGACTCCTACATTTCTTGACAAAATCTGTTCATGATGGAAAAGGAAATTTGCAAAACAAAAGATATTCTTCGCTACACTTGTCATGGCCTTATCTCTTCTGCTTGTTTGTGCCTTTTGTCCTTTGTAGCTGGCAGGGTGTAGGTTCCCTTGATATTCTGGTCTGCCTTGTAACATCTGAAATATGTGCAGTAAAGCAATGTAACAGCGAATCCAGACAGATTAAGGTTAGTGAGACTGTCAGTTCTGTCACTGGGTGAGATAACTGCGCTCTTTCCTCTCCCACTGTGGAAAAAAGGAAAGTTTTCAATTAGGTTTTGTTCTTATGCTTCCAGATATATTGGAAAGTATGCTACCAGTTGAAAAATGGTAATACCCATCCCATTCTCTTTCTAAGACAGAATAGTTTATTTGTAATGTGTACTTGAAATCCTGTTGAAAAACAATAGCTGCATTCATTAGGTGAGATTTGGACACCAAATGTTTACTTAGGAAGTACTCATTAGTCTACAAGCTGTGATCCAGCATGAATACATTGTGCGGATATCACAGCTTCCAACAATATCTTTGAAAACACATTTTACAGTAAATCAATCATATAATGTCAGCTATTGTCATTTATTTTAGACTTCATGAGTCCTATAGTGAAGGTGATACGAAAAAAAATTGCTTTACTCAGTCAAAAGGGAAATATTTAAGCTTGGTTTCATTTGCTGTTATATGAACTTGTTATTCAATGATTTAATAGACAGCAAGTCTGTCAGTCGCTGCAGCAGTGCTGAACTGTAGGACCTGAAAATACTCCTTTCTCAGCCCCAAACTCGTGGATTTTACAGAATTGTTTTACAGCACTGACATGAAAATGTCACCCATGAAGCTAAGTCAAGTAGCACATTTGAAAAAGGATTAAAGCCTAAGAATTCACTAACTTCTCTTTTGATTACTTTCTTGTTTTAAAGTGTCATCCTCATACCCTTAATGAGTCAATCTCACCCACCAAGTGTTACACAACTGTTGTACAAAAGCGATATAACCAGCTGTTCCCCACCCTGCACAGACCAAGTGCTGCACAGCTGGCCTGTTCAAATTCTTTCTTCAGGATCAGTGTCGCGCTGAGTAACAGAGTCCCCTGTTTCTTCAGTGAGGCCTTTGGCAATGCTTGACTTCTTTTAACTTCGACTTTTCCTTTTTATGGCTCACAAAAAGGATAAATACTTTTAAAATTACTATGTTGACAGGAAAGGTGGCTCATTTTTCCATATTTGATCTGTAGATGTTGATGGCCCTAGGGTTATCTGGGAATGTAAGCACTGCACTAAAACTGGCTTTAAGTGCCACTCAAATGAAAAAAGCAACATAAATGAACATTGCTAATGTCTTCTAAGAGCTACAGCCACTTTCTTATTTGAGGCATTAAATCAGATGTATGGAAAGTATTATATAAACTGATAGCACCAAGATGCCTCTCTTGTTGCTCTATTGGGGCACCCTAAGGATAGTCCCAGCACCGTCTCCACATTCATCGTTCTAACAGACGACCATATTGAACATAAAGTTGTCTTTAGATTGCTATGCTTTCCCACTTTCTGCTTTTGATGCAGACAGTTTCATGCCTTGATGAGCATGCAGGGTAGCTCCCAGGACCCCTGGGAGTGCCTCGGCCTCTCCGACTTGCCCCCCTCTGCCCCCAGGAAGGCTGAAGTGACCCTGGGTGACAGCCTGACTCCGGTGCAGGCAGGGCAAGGCTGCTGGAGCCAGGACATCACCCACTACCTCAACAGCAAATCTTGCAGGAGGTCATTTGCCTGTGAACAAAGTTGTAGAGTTTTAGAATTATCAAAGAAAGTTGGTCAATATAACCGCTGGACCCTGGGAAGCTTTAGTTTCCCTCTGTAATTTCTTTTTGAGCCTAAAATACATTCCCTTAAAAGGAAAGGGGAAATTCACTTTACTTTAAAGTGTAGGGGTAGGGGGGCATATGGTTGTCTTGGTTTTTTCTTCATTTACCATGGAGCATGCAAGTGTGTCATTACACAGCTCCCACCACAAAGTTCAAAAATCTCAAAATTAATCCTAGCAGGCTGTAGCAATGGCCTGCGACACTTCATTTTCCTCAGAAGATTGACATCTTCTGGCAAGATTATCATGGTAATCAACACATCGATTGCTTTCCAGTTTCCATTCCATGCTTGCGTACTAATGGCAATATGATGTTTTTGAGAGTGTAGTGCTAGACCATCTCAGTCTGCCTTTCCCATGGGGAGCTTATTAAATCATGTAACTGCTGGCTTTCTGCAAAACTCCAACATTACTTTAGCCAGAGGTCAAGTTATCTGGGAGACCATATATTCTGCAATATGTCAACACTGTTTGGGAACCCCTGATTTTTTTTTTTTTCTTTTTTTTATCTTTCTTGATAGGTGTTCCAAAGCCTCTTCCTTCCCCGCCCCCCCCCGCCCCCTTAATACCCGTCCATCAAATCAGCAGCTTCAAATGTCAAGAGGTAACAGTGTCTTCTTCAAACCTAAGGTCTAGGCTTTCAGGCCTTCTGTCCTCCTGTGTTCCAGCTCCTATTTTACATCACGTTCCTCTTTCCCCATTGCAGTGCCAGCAAGCTAACCTACTTCTTTCTCAAGGCCTGGCCTACTCTGGAGGAAAGTCTTTTTAACATGGGCTGGCTAACTTAGAGAAAGCAAGCTGTAGTTTTAACGTAAGGTACCCAAGGACTACTGGTATCTAGGCTTACCCAGTGATTTCTTCTTATGGCTTGCTACCTCATTTCAAGCACAGAAGTCAGCTGCTACACCAGCAGAAATCCCAGTCAGGTGACACATCTTTGTTCCCAAGTGTCGGTGCAGCACTGAGAAACCTGTGCATCCTTGCTTGGACACCTCCAGTGTAGAAGAGGGAGAAAGCAGACCCCTTAGAGTTTGTATTCTCTGTGCTTTTATGCCTCATCTGCTCTCTATAAGGACTACAGGGTCTATAGTCTTAGTATCTATGCCCCAACACATGTTAGGCTGGCATTTCAAGAAATAAATATGCATAATGACTTACACATAGTGTCCCATGCTTTTTTCAGAATTTCTTTAATTCTACACCACCCTTTAAGATCACTGCTAACCATCCTTGTTAGTCCATACAGACTCCTCAAAAGCATGCTATTCCCATACGCCTATTTGTGTGTACGAATAACAGCATTCAAGGTTGAGCACGTAAGCGTTGTATGTAGCAGCTCAATGCCCCACCTGCATGGGTGATAAAATCTGCCTCCTGTTCATCCCCAGTCTCTGCAATTGCACAAATATGAATGTTGGAAATGTGAGTGTATTAGGAGTACTAGCTATTTCTTTGCTAGTTGTAACTCGTAACCTTAAAAATTCAAAATCCATTGTGTGAGTGACTGGAAACAAGGCAGTTCAAATGCATATTGATGTATAAATGAGAAAAAAGCCTCTCCTTGCTGTGCTTCTGCTTTCCTTCCTTCTTCCATGAAAGCATCTTAGGGGATTTGCAGGCCGTGTGGTGCTGGTGCTCGGCAGAACATTCCCCGCGGTTCTGGCAGCAGCACGATGGCTCAGTTCAATTTCTAGCAACTGCCAAGGCCACACAGAAACGCCAGAAAACAAAAGCACAGACTTGACTGAAATGCCTGTATTACAAAAAGAAAATGAAAAACAAACCATGACCCCTCTGCAGTTGAAAGGAAGGATAAAACAAAAAAAAAGGATGAGCTAACATGTAAGCTGCAACAAACCAGAGGAAAAACTACCTCAAGGAAATCTTTCAGGAGCAGAGGGAAGAGGAGAGGAAATAAAGAACGGGGGAGACAGATTCCAGCAGTGAAGGAACTAAATGTAGCTTCAGCTCAAACCTTTCCCAGAAATGCATAGAACAAATTTACCGCATAGTCCAAATGACCGAGAACAGGATGGAGCGATGCCCTCAAGACAAAATTATGAAAGCCCTTCAATCCAATAAGCATTCATTGGATGTGGAGTGTATTCACTGTCATTTTACAATTCTGAATCACACAAATATACCCCAATTATTAATGGTAATTGTTAGCAGCTCCATTTTAATTAGCTTGCATGCTCTAAGAACAGAACTGATGTATCATTTAATTTTGTATTAGGCCAGTAATCTGTACTTATACAATGTAAATTTAAGTGCACTGAGAAATGATTGAACACTCTTAGAAAAATTATACTTGGAGTAGGTATTTCACATGAAACTTTAAAAATATAAAATTAAAATCTATTCCCCTCATTATTCTTTCCTGTCTCTTTTGCTGGGTGATATGAAAATGAAGACAGGGTTGTTGAGAACTAATTACCTTTCATCCTTTTTTTTAGTTAACGTGACCCTTTGTACTGTGGGGCTCAGTGCTGGGTTTCTGTATCTAGTTGTGTGTATGAAATGCTAGTGTTTTACCTCATCTACAGCAATTTTTATTGTACCGAAATAAGAAAAAAATACCCTAGAACTGGGCTTGTCCAAGTTTTAGAATAATACTTCTCTGAGTGCCAGTGAAGGCTCAAAGCTTCTTGGAGCCGATCGCTCAAACTGATGCTCCCATCATTTGCCCAATCTGCTCTTTTCTGGGCTAAACAAATGCAGCTCCTAAAACCTTTCCTGAAGGTGACGTTTTTTACATTTTCTCCAGTTCCTGTTGCTTTCCCATCTGTCTAAATCTTTCTTAGAACATGGTGAATAGACTCGATTCCAGTCCTCCAGAATGAGAAAAAGAGCAGAGTAGCTCTCCCATGTGCCTTACAAGCATGAGGATTGCCCCTCCTTGCAATGTTTTGTGCTACGCTGAGAAGTTTTCCATCCTTTGTTTTTGTGTGTGAGGCATGCAATATTTAAGAGTGGCAATGTTTACATTTGTCTAATGTGATACGGCAACAACAGTGACTTCTAAAATATTTTCCATTGAAAAATACAAATGTCAACCCGACTGTATCTCCATTTGGCATCTAGCTTTTCTTTTTTTTAAATAAGGATCAAAGTAGTGGTCAGAGTGTCAAAATGTGCACCTGCTTTCTATATATTATACATATAGAATTTGTGCACATCTCCATGCACGTATGTGGACTTCGATTACTCAGTTTCTGTGTATGTCATTGACAGGGAAAGTTTTTTAAGAAATCCTCCTCATTCTGGAGGTATCTAAAGGATTTTTAAATAGCCCAACTAAGGTACTCAAGGAGAAATGTGCATGTATTTGCAAAACAAATTTGGGATTTTCCTCTTTTTGGTGGCAGTGGGCAACGTACTCCTTTTCAATCCAGTCTTCCAGAAAAATATACATAGCACCAGTGGTACATAACTGGTATGTCTGATAGTCACAGATTAATTATTATGTAGTTGCTTCAGTCTCAAAAATGAGATTTTCCTTTTAAGAATAACTTACACTGTGGAGTGTTTGCAGAAGGCATGCAGACAGCACAAGGAACCTCCACAGGTAAGCACAGTTTCAGTACAAATTTGTAAAGTACTTTTTAATTTTATGCATTTTGAGCCCTAGTGTGTGACCTGCTCTGCAGCGGTGTTATTGTGTCAAAGTAAGAACAAACACTGGAACAGGGCGTGCCTGAGTTTTCAAGAAATATTGCTCCAAAGCCTGTGAGAGACTGATGCGGAAATAATTTCCTCTTAATACAGCTGATCTTTCTTGCTCTGGTAGGAGGGAAGAAGGAGTCAGACCACGCTTTGAACTTCTCAGACTTTTTTCCCTCTTAGTTTCTTTGCATGAAAATATTTCATACAGCCCTACCTTCCATTTGTTAAGCAGAATATTTTGAACTTTGCTGCTCCTAAAGCTGTTCACAAAAATAATAGTTCATTCCAGGACATGGCTCTCTACCCTGTAAAAATTAAGTTCCACCAGTTTTATATAACTAATGGTCAGTCTCAAGCCCTTCAGTTTCTGACTAAGAGAGCTAAGCTTCTAACTCCCTAATGTTGGAAGCTCTATTCCACAGCCTGGTTTTAATGTGAAATTGGTTTTGCAGATTCGAAACGTGGCAGCCAATCTCTGTGTGGACAGTAAACACGGAGCCACGGGGACTGAGCTGAGGCTAGACATCTGCGTGAAGGATGGCTCAGAACGGACGTGGTCACACGAACAGGTATTTTATCGGTGGAAAGAGAAATGCAGTGTAAAAATGTTGCTTTCCTTTTCCAGTTTCTAAATTTCTCTGAGGGCTCCTCCTTTTCCCAAGGCAAAGCAGGGTGTGGAAATAATTTGTGAATGATTGCTGACCTTAATGGCTTTTACAAAGTGTTCTTTAACATAACCTCAGAAATTCCAACCACCACCTGGGCTGTACGTTCTTCTTAATTTCCAAAAGGAATTGCAATGCCTAAAGAGCTTTTGGGTGCCCCATTCTCCCCCGCTGTGTCACGAAAATATGTTGATTTTGGTTCAGTTACCTGAAAATATTTTAAATGTAGTACCTGGGCTTGTAAAGCTCTGGTGGTTGTCTGCTTCTATGCTTTCATCTCAATAAGCTCAATAAGTGGTTATATTTTAAGTTAATATGAGGTATAAGTGAGATAAATGGGTAAAAGCTAGAAAGAAAGAGTTTCACAAAGACAAGAGGTGATAAAGACTCAAAAAAAGCTTTTATCTAGGTTGGTTAGGTAGAAAAATATTAGCTCTCAGGAGTACGGAGGAAAAGAGCTCTGATTTGTACTCATTGTGGCTGTGAGTGCCTTAGGAAAGGGATCATGACCCACAGGCTGTGGGTCTGGCCAATGTGAGCAATGAGAATCCGGATGAAAAGTACAACCTAACCATTTATTAGCAATTTTAGTGAAAGTGCCTTTCACAGGGCAAGGTCCCAGATTAGAAAAATTTCCCAATGCTGAGGAGAAAAATTGACCTGGCAGTCGCACATGGCACTTTGTAAAAGCTTAAAAGCTCAGGAGAGAGGAGTTCTGAGGGGTATTTGAAGTGCTGAGGTCAAGAAACCATTCTCTGAGGATACCGAGAAATGCCGGGGGAGAGGTACAAGTGAATGAATTGGAGAAGCTGAAGGATGATCACAATTTAGGTAAGTGTCAACATGGGAAAAAGAAAGTTGCTGAAAGAAGGCTTCTTCACATAGCTACCAAAGACGTAGCACAGCGTCTACGCTACATCTCAGGATGCTGAGACTAGATAAATATAATCCTGTTTTGTTTGTGAAAGATATCCAGTAATTCAAGCAATTAATTGAAGGAAGTTGTATGGTCCAGACTAGATCATCACAGTGCTCTCTGGCTTTAAAATCTGCAAACCTGAAAAGCTCCAAACCCTCCTCAAGAAGGGAGGGAGTCCTGAGGCTGCCAGAGATGAGAGAAAGAAGGGAAGAAAACTGCATGAAAAGGGGATAGAAGAGAGAAATTTATCAGGGAAAGCAGAGAAAAGGGAGACTTGAAATATCCGTTGAAAGAGTAAGTGCTTGTGAGGAAGGGGAAGGGACACAAAGGGAGAAGGATGGGGAGGAATCTGTGTTTCAGTGTACTCCGGTGCGTTGCTATGTTTGGGATCGGACTCGATGTAAAGGTCTCATTCTATACTAACGACGAAAAGTGACTTCATTAAAATAAATACGGTTAAGCTAGCACGAAAGGAGTTCAACCAACCAGCTCCTCAGAGCGCAGAACCAGAACTAGGAAGCCTCAAGCACATCCATGCTTGACGTACGCTCCAGGTACAGCACGCATTATTCCTGCCGGGCTGGTGCAGAGCAGCGCGTACCTTCTCCCTGCGGGATAGCGTGGAAAACGCTGCCAGGGAACACCGCTCCCACCGGAGCGGTACGGCCGCACGGGGAAAGGTCTGCCCA